CTGGCTGCCGATTCTTGCTGTGGTGGCATTTTTATTCGAAAAACATATCAAAAAGCAGCCGGCTGCGGCCTAGCCACAGCAAAGTTAATGCACTGCCATGAATAGCAACGCCCCTAGCCCTACCACACCTATAATGACAGCTGTTTTGTTGATTTCATGTTGCAGCATTTTGTCCTTTTCCAGGGGCACTGAACCAGTGCTTTCACTTGTGGAAGCAGAAGCTGATTCAGCCTGTGCTGCTTTGTGATGCTGTGGCAAGGCCCCAGCATGAATCAGGTTGGAAGGATGGCTGTTTGGCAGGTTGATTTTTGATGGGCCGCCTTCCATCGTTTTCTGGCCCAGATTTTTTTGTCTGGATTCACCTCATTGTTCACCCCCAGTTTCATTCCAGCAACAGCCAGTTTCAGCCTATTGTTGTAACCAGCCGTGCTTTCTGTGTTGATGACCATTCTCGCAGGCATCAGCCACACCCCGGGGCACACTGCAAGGTTGAGTCTGACCTTCGCTTGATCCACCATCAGCTGATACCTTTGAATGCTCTGAGACAAGTCTGGCTGTCTGATCACATCTTCCATCAAAACCAGAAACTCGCTCTGGGCTTCTTTCACCCGGCCGCCTTCTCCAAGAATACTGCTGCACACGTTGACTTGCACACCCACGATGCTGTGTTTGGGTATGAAACGACAGCTGTGTTTTGGGCGAACCAGTCATACTGGGCCACGGCATCAGGCTCAATGAAAGAAAGCAGATTTCCTTTGCTTGCCGCTTTGCCTTCATCACTGAATTTACAGAACCCTCCTGGATAAGCGGTTCCTGTTTTCCTTGACCCGTACCCTGTCAAGCCAATGTATACGCTTCCCAAGCCCTGGTTTTTCCCATTGTGAAGTGAAAATCACTTGATGAATTTATTCCAAATTTGTCGCATATTCTTTTGTATGAAGCCACGTCAGAATGATTACCAGATTTATTGAATGTGGGATCGCCTGGCAAAGCGCTTAATGCCACCAAGCTGGTACAAAATTCGCCTGACCTTAAAATACACGTGGAATAGATAAAAAGCTCTTATTTGCGGTGGCAGTGCCAGCCCGCTGTCAAAGATTTCTCGAGAAATTCCACAGCCTTGTGTCGCACAGAATACAGCAAAGTTGAGTTGTTGTGGCCAATATGACATGTGGGGCCCACCCAGCCACTTCTTGGATTCGGCCGCCATGCTGTGCCTGAGTTTTGTTTGTTGGATGATTTCTCTGAATTTTGTCAGGAAGGTGTCTGGGGTCACGTAGATGTTTATGTTTTGGTCAAATATTTTCTTAAGGCTTAGCGCGGCTTCTGTGAAATCTACAGCTAGGATGGGCAGTACTATTTCAGTTTTCATTGGCGACAATTGATAGGGAAAGCCTGCCACGCCCATCAGACCGAGCGCAGCTTTCATTGACTGACTCTAAAAGTACCTGTCTGAACCAAACACGCTTTCAAGGCAACCTTTTCCTGCCTTGAAGAACATTTCTGCTGACACATTCCGCTTTTCATCAATATCAATTTGTGCCACGAATTGATCTTTACCAGCATTCGGGAACTGTTTTGTGAATGCGGCCCACGCACTTGTCTGGGCTGCAGCTTCTTTGGCTTTAGTATCGGGCCTTTGCACCCATTTTTGAAAGTCCTTGAACGCGGCACTATCCATTTTGAATGTGCTTTATTTGTACAATATAATGGTGGTGCTTACGATTGTCACGTGAAATAACGGAGAAACTGTGTACTTTGAGGAGCAGATCCCGAAGGTACATTTCATCAGACTCCTCTCTTGCAGTTTGTACAACAGCTGGCACACTCTGAAAAACGAAGGTTCAGCTGAGTTGGGGGACAAAGATGCCCCAACTAAGCAGGTTTCTAAAATTCTTCCAGGGCATTACACTTTAGAGGGCTTGGCAAAAGAAATATGTGGCCTGTTCGCAAAATATGATTACAAACTGTAAACAGAAACAAATCAACCTGTTGGTCAGCTCGTAATCAAAAATTTTTGGTTAAAACCAATTACCCTTGAGTGTGATTTAGCTCATTTGCTTGGTATTGGGCGGAATTTAAATTTTATAACATTCGTAAAACAGCTTACATCTCCAACGACATATTTTATTCATTGCGATCTGCTTGACAAAACCAAAAACTTTTTAAACGGGAAGAGATCAGATGTTTTGGCTAAATTTGATATAAAAGGCTTGCCTTATGCAAAAGTAAGCTACGATTCTACCCCACAACAGGTGTTGTGTGACTGTTCAACGGATGCCCATGTAAATAGCATAACTGTCAGCGTCAAAGATGAAGATGGCAAGCTCTTTGATTTCAAAGGCTTGTCCCTGGAATTTGAATTGGAAATTAATTAACGCTTTTTATACCATGTCGTCTGCGAACGTTCTGCCCTCCACTCCTCCTGAAAGCTCTTGGGAGCCTCTCTGTCCTGTACTGACGGCACCGGCTGAAAATTTCCATTTGCAAAAGATCCACAAGATAGCCAAAGTTTTGGACCAAGAGGTCGGCCACTATCACCTCACGACAAAATACAAACGGCAAAAAACATTCATTAACTGGAGTGCTCCAGGCTCCAGTGTTCTGTCAGCACCGTTTTCAAGCACAAGCTTTGGTTTGGCTCTGTCCATTAAGTGGCGTTGGCAGCTGTTTTGCTCTTGTTTCTTCAGGGCTAATAATTGTCAACAGGAAACTTGAAGCAAAAATTAAAAAGCATCAAGAGATTAACACACTCGCCATCGCCAAACGTGACATAATCTGCAGGCTGTTATCCAAAGCTTTGAATAACAATGCCGTGTCTGCCCACAGGTTTGACATCATTCTTTCCGAGTTTCAGCAGTACAACTTCCTGAAGGAACAACTCTGAGCCAAGCTGCTTCGCCAACCATCGAGCAGAAAGATTGTTGATGTTGACAAACTGGAGAAAGATATCCGCAGCAAAGTTGAAGCTGAATTGATAAAAAAAATAACCGACCCTGCCGCTTCGAATTGACATTTGAAAACACAAAGTTTCATTTGCATATTATAAAAACATGATTGTCAGTTTCCACTTGATGGTGTTTCTCGTGAATGAATATTTCACACCTGAGTGGCAGAGAAACATGCAAGATAAAACACGCAAAGTTGTTGACGCGCTTTAGTTTGTTTAAGGCCTTCAGACTACAGCTTACGGTTGCACATTCCTCTTGGCTTCAGTTAAAGCCGGTTGCATTCCTCTTGGCTTCAGTTGACGCCATCAGGAATTTTCAAGGACATCACAAATGTTGAAGACAAGAGGAATTTTACTGGCAGATTTCTCTTTTTTGCCAACAGTTTGCTAGAATATGGCATTTCTTCTTGGCCTGGTCAATAAAAATGATACTTTCACCTTTTTTCTAGGAAAAATCGGGCACGAAAAGCTGTAAAATATAGAGCTTCCACTAGAGTGAAAAAAATAAACAGCTGATTGCCTCAGGGCAAAGTATTACACGCTCAGACATGCTTGGGTAAACCATCACCCGCCTCTGTTTACATTTCTTTTGACAAGAGAATATTGGCGACCTCTTGTGGATTCATCAGTTTCATCTCGTCAACAACATTAGCAGGTAAAAATAATGAATGTTTTTGATCAATGGGGCGCATGCCACTCCGCCAATATTTTCTTTCCTTTGTGGACCTGAAAATTTTGGGCTTCTTTTGGTTTTATTCAAATGGCCCTTTTCTTCTGCGGCCCATTTTGTTATATGCAAATAGGGTTAATCTTCAATTGCTTTCTTTTTTGTCAAGGCCGAAGGCTAGCCTCGTTATACCGATAGCTAGCCTTGCAGCCAAAAACCCTGCTCCAAAAGCGGCAAAGCTCCTTAAAATTTTGTCAGACTCTTCTAGCTTTTCCAAGCAGACAACTATGGCTTTGAGGCTTTCATCTACCTCGGCCGCCTTTTCGATAAAAGCACTTCTTAGTTTCTCTCTCTCCTCAACGTTGGACATTTTATATCAAACCCTGCGTCTCGTTTAATTAGCTTCTCCCACAATCCTTACACCTTTAGCCACAAAGTCCTCAATCCTTAGGTCTCAAAAAAGTGGCGCCATCTGTCGAGAGCTCAATCTCCACTAGCTTTTCCTTGGCCTGGCACATTTTTTTCCCAAAACTATTTTTGCAGAAGGTCCTCTCAGTCTCGCTTTCACAGGAAGGGGCATTTTGTATACATGAGACTGCAGACTGTTCAATTGAGCTTTTGGCATTATTATTCACTAGTTCAACCAAAACTCCATTACCTTTTTAGCCTAATATTCCCCTTCATAATCTTTTTGGCACACGAATGATACAAATTGAATGGGCAATCATCAGCAATTCTATTCTATTCATTGGCGGCTCATAATTCATTAGCGCAGTTTTTGTACAATCACACTTTTTAAACAGCCATATACTGTGTGCCCACAGTATTCGCTCGTTGCTATACTAAAGCAGGTGCCCTGTTCAACTGAAAAAAATTCTGGATCAAAAATCAAACCCACGCGAAGCAAGGCATTTTATGACACAAAGATTTGCTTGATCAAGGGCCACAATCAAGATCTGGGTGGGCAATCGGACCCACCTTACACGCATGTATAATGGTGATTCTGGACTCAAACTGGGTCTCAAAGATGCCGAGCAAAGAGAGTGCGTCTTATAAGACAGAGATTTGCTTGATTCAGAATCACCATTATACATGTGTGTTGACATAAAGAAACTTTGACAAGAACAAAACTAAGTTGTGATAAAACAACTAGATCGAGAACAGTTCACATGCACAAATGAAATATCACACCGCAATTCGTATTACACGTGACAACTGACGGTGAATTTTAATTAGATGTGTCAACATGCCGTAAGGGGTTAATGGGATTAAAAAATAGTTTTTCTCTTTATCTTAAAAAGTAAAAAAGCATTTTTTCCCCAATCTTTTTGCAAAATATTTATCTCAGTCTTCTCAATTTGAACAGCAAAAAAAAAGAGTTTTCACATTTTTCGTAAAAATTTACCTACCATGATACCTTAACGTTAACCCAGGATTAAAAGTTAATCTAAGTTTAAACTTTTGTCCAATATATTCGCTTTGGTTTTAAAAATAATTTATATTTACAAGGCTAAAAGAGGTTTAAAAAATTAAAAACCCCAAATGTTTTTGACACCAGGTCATCATTAGGGCAAGTAAAGACCGTCCCCTAATTGTGTATTTAATATATCAGTTACACACCTTCCACTGGGAACAATTTTGCAATGTAGCAATGAACCTGTCTGTTTAAAGATGGTTTCCATTGTTGGATCATTAGGCCTTCTAGGATTCCATGCTTTCCAGTGGATTGAGCCGTGCAAAGTATGTGCCAGCTAAGAGAATGCATAGACTGCGTGTGATCAGTGAGTGTTTTTGTCTTTAAGGTGGAAAAGGCTTTTGATCTGTCTTGTTTGCCACAGGATAATAAAAATGAACTTGGAATTTGTGAAATTGTTTAGTTTGGAAATGAAAGCTTTACTAAGGTTTTTCATTGTTATTACAGTAAGGGAGCTTAATGAAAACTTTGTTGTGTTCTTCAAAGAGGAAACTGGAAATTAAAACATCGTCTACAGGCGAATCATTTAGGGACCTGTTCACTCTTTGGGAAATAAAGCACTTAGTATATCCAGCATTTAAAAGAGATTTTTCAATTGTTTTGATTGCATTGTTAAAATCAGAAGAGATACTTTTGGCTCTGTGGAAGGCGGCAATGATACAATTTCTTTTCCATTTTGTGGGAATTTCCAACTTCCAATGTGTAGCTAATTTTCCCGATTTCTTGTAGACTTTGCAGTCAAATTGTTTTCATAACTGAAAGAAGTGTCAAGGAAATGGTCAGGATTTTCTTCCACAGAGCAAACAATGTTAGGATGGAAATCGTTAAGATGTTCAAGCAGAACATCGGGCTACCTTTCTTCTTTTGGAGAAACAATCATCAACATACCGATCATAGAACGGTAGGTTAAAGGGTCGGACAACATCTGATTCCAATTTAGCCATGAAGATATTTGTGATGACATTCACCAATTCGTCTGTAGAGGTGGCCATTGAAGTGGCAGGTCTTTTTCTTCTTCTTACCCTGATGATGACCTAGTGTCGAAAACGTTCAGTGTTTTTTTACTTTTTCACCTTTTTCAGCCTTGTAAATAGGAATTATGTTTAATCTTTTCTTGTGTAAAATGTTTTTCACTGCTTTTGTTTTGTGTGGTTTGAGATTGACCAAACTCAAAACAGAAGGGCAACCAACATAAACAGAAACCTTCACCTCAAAGTTACAAAACTGAAATCAAAATTCTTGCTTAACCTGGCTCAGGGCTCCACTTTTAGGCTTGGCTAAATCTATTATTAGCAATTCAACTCCTAGATAGTGACATTTAAAAACAGCATTCCAACCGAATGTAATAAAACTAAGCATAAGACCACAAGTACGCATTGCGGACCTATTTTTAGATGACTTCTTAGGTGTATATTACATTTTATGAGTCAAACAACTGCTCTAAAAGTTGTTCTTTCAAGGGGCAAGAGGGGATCCGGAGAGTTAAAGAACAATCCCCTGTGACAAGGGGCACTGTTACAAAGCTCAACAATCATTTTGTGAGTCACCGAATGATCCAGTCAACCATGGACATAGTTATGCAACAAAACAACAGCAACAATAGTTTATTTACACCCCCTGAGGGGGCTTTTCAGTGACAATACAAGACAGCTAAACTAATAATTATTGAGTTAAATGATGTGGCTTACAATTCAATCAAAAGGGAAAGAATGCGATAAACATTAAACAATAATCATACAACATACAATTCATCATACAACAACAACCAAACAAACATGGAGAACGTTTGACAACACTGCAATCACTTTCCACATGCAATAATTACCTTCACTCCACATTGCGTCCTCTCCATCATCTCTATTGTCATCACCTTCATAATCATCATCAGCATCACTATTATCCTCCTCATCCTCATTGGCATCGTCAGGCTGCTGAATACAGTCAGTTTTGAGAACAAATGGCTTGAGCAGTCGTATTTTTACTGTGCAAATAGGATTTCCTCCAGCAGATTCTGCCTGCCTTTTCCTTTTCTTTGGAGGGCTCCAGTTGCTGCTTTCTGTTGTATCACAAGATCCTGGGATTTTCTCTTCCACTACATATCCTGCCTGTTGCAGAAACTGTCTTACCCTTCTCACACTCTTGACATTCACCCTTAACTCACTCTGCCAAAGCAAACAAGAAAACAAGAAGAGTACTGTTGTCAAACAAATACTTGCAATCATTTGACAACAGTTCATCATACACCTGTATGAGGTACTAACTTGTCTTGTTGGATATAGTGTCATAATCTTTGAACTGAAACTAAAGCCAAAGCAACAGATGACAATGAATATGAGACAAATTCTGTTCAAACTGTACTGAAATGTTGGTTAGCAGGCTATGACATCATTTAATGGATTAGTCATTCAAGTGGATATTATTAACCAAAATATTTATTTAGAATGCCACTAGACATGAGATTTTTGCTTAATAATAAAATTCGAAACTTAATTACAAGCACTGTCAACTTTTTTATGCTAATAGTATACAAAAACTGATTAAATTTGGCCTTTTGATGATGGCTGATCAACAGCAAAATTGGTGGCGATCTTGGCAGACTAGTGGATTATTCCACCGTGTCTCATTCTGAAAACATCTCAAGACTCTGAGATAGTAAAAAAGATTTACCCTTACACATGAGTTCAGACTTGATTTAACCTTTTTCTATCAATTGGATACTTCAGGGATATTCCTACTCAAGCAATCAAGTGCAATGTACAAAGTTCTCCATGTCGCAAACTGACCAAGTCACAAAGTGGAATGACATTCACGCCTAGTTAATGTGGTTGATTTGTTGAATATTCTTTCATATACTCCTAAAGGAAAAATTTATTAAGAGCAGTTGTGCAAAACTCCCAAGCTGAACATGGTGACATGGGTGACAACATTATTTTTTGTCTTCACCAATACAGTTGCCACTCACATCTTCAATTGTAAGATTGTTTGGACAAGAAAGTGACCTAGACTTTTCATTTTTTTAAATTTTTTTTTGCCTTTGATTTTTTCTTTCTTATCTCTTTGCTCCAGTTGTTGACCTCCTACTGGGCTTGCTTCCAATTCAAGAATTCCTGAGAAGGCATCATCAACACGGGGAATTCTTACCACAGAGAAGCCAAATCTAGTTAAGGAAATTTTTATTCATATTTCTTTTTCTTTCATGTCGTGTTCCCAACATACGTGGCACATGGGAGGTGCAGTACATCAGAGTTCACCAGTTTAACCAAAGTGAGGCACAACAGTCGCCAACTAGTAAGATCTATTGAAGATCTGGCTGGGCCGTTTGTATACCACTTACGGTAAAAACTAGAAATCAATAGACGATTGTTGAGTAACAAGAGGCTCACGGAACAACAAGCTAAATGGAAATGAATAAAACTATAAGAAGAGAAAATAGAAAACAACTTACATCTGATCTCTAACACCGGGTATGAAAAATGCCAAAGAAAATAGCTCCAAATACTCCGAGTTAAACTATGAAGGGCTCCTGAAACATGTGACTCCCAATCGACTGAAACGTGCTCAGAAATATATCTACAATGATGAAACACCCAGAGCGGCCATCCAAGAAACATAAATCAAACATTAACTAAATCAACGATGGTTGTAGCACAACGGAAGTGAACAATCTATAAAGGTCCAGTGTTTATATCTATGTACATGAGGCTGCATATTTAATGCTCAGTTGATCGGCATGACCCCATCACTCTGATCTGGGTATCATAAGAAAGATCTTTTTCACCTGTAGAACTTGAGTATAAGTGATGCCAATTTTGGTCAAGGGTCAGGCATCAATATATGTAGGTTAAGGTAGACAGCCGTTTTGGAGAAAGGACGTCCAATGCAATGCCTTGACATATTATAGGTGGTGATAGTTTGCTGTTGTTCAATTGGAGATTACTGAATTTCAAAACAAACTGCAAAACAGAAGTCATGGAAAAGATGTATCATCATGCTAGCTTTGTCTATGGTGCTGAAACATTGTGAACTTCAATAAAGCAACGGAAAACCATCAACCCCCACAGTACCTGTCAGGATTATTTTACACTTTTGTAGGATACCCTTTCTCAAAAGTGCTGTATACTAAACTGTAACTATCTAACACTAATTTTGGAGAATAGGAACTGTTCAGCTCAACTCATTAATATCTACCATGTGTAATGACTGGACAAAAATTTAGAGGAGGAAAATTAGTAGGTCACAACATTATGAAGAATAAATCAAGTGGAAACAAGAGAATCTACCACACCTCTACACATTATTGTATAAAACAGGGGTGTCATTAACATTTTCAGCAGGAGGGCAACTGGTTTTCACAGGTAGGCAAAACCTTTTTGAACTGAACTTCTTTGTGAGAAAAACTTTCCAGTAGATGGCCAAACCAGGAGGGCAAAATCATCCTCACAGCTGGTCAATTTGCCTGGTGCCCGGCTCTTAATGAAAACCTTGATAAAAACAGTGATGTCAGAAAGTACATAGTTATCCCACAAAGTCAATTTTGGCAGGAAAAAAGCTTATTTTATTGGTACAGTTCCCGGGAGGGGGGGTACTCCCTTATATCAGCTATATAGGTATGTGTGGCTCCAAAGGGTATGGTTTTTCAGCCATTTTGGTCATGAATAGGGTATCGATTATAGCTGATTTTGGCCATTTTGGTCATAAATAGGATATGATTTTTGCACTCTAGCCTTGATATGGGTATGTTTTTAAGAAGAAGCCACTTTTTCATCATAATCGAAAAGAAAATCAACAAACAGCCTTCACAAATTATGTTTATGGTAATTTAACATTGGTTTGAACTAGGGAATTGATTATAACGCAGGTCTGAAACAAGGTTTTGATTAAAGGGTCAGGTTATAAATAGGGTTTTGAATTTTTTGTCAGGTCATAAATAGGGTAGGGAATATCGCAGATTTTGGTCATAATAGGGTAAGGGTTTTGGGAGGCGCGGTGGCCTCATGGTTAGTGCGCTCATCTCCGGATCGAGCGGTCCGGGTTCGAGGCCTGGCCGGGGACATTGCGTTGTGTTCCTGGGCAAGACACTTTACTCTCACAGTGCCTCTCTCCACCCAGGTGTATAAATGGGTACCGG